GCAATAGGCAGATTTAGCTCTTGCATAATGCATGTTTAATGTATCTTTAGTTTAGAATTCTTCTGTTAAAGGCTCAATATCACTCTTGTTGTAAATGAATAATATGTCCCAATCTTTATTCTAGTCAACAAATTGTACTATTTTACAATATTCCAATTAACTGATGATACAAATTTCATCTTAACACACCTAATATAAAAGATTGGACAAATTCAACTAAATGATTTGAAACGTAAACCTTTTCAAATGAAACTTCGATTTAAAAATATTTTCGAACCCTCTGGACAAGTAAAATAGGATGTAATGGATAATTTACACAACAGGTAGGACACTTAAACATCTAGTACTTAGATAGAGATATTAATTATTTTTATGAGCTTTCAAGCTAGCAAGAGTGTTATTGTCCCTTTAAGGCGTGATAATCTTGCCTCGTTTCACACACTTCCATGCTACTGAGCTACCGAGTTTCAAAGAGAGGCAGTGTCTAGTCGTTCGGATGGGACGAAAAACAGTTGGAATTCGAAATAAAGTAGACCGTAGTGCCACCGTCGGTGCAAATTGTAATAGCACACCGCATGGCGTATGTCCGTCTTCGTTAGTTCGGTAAGCGACAAAAAGTAGGCTGTTAAACACCATTTCATTTAATATCACGTATATATTTGTAGGGCTAATTTTAGTTTTGAAGTGAATAGCCGACGTAGTTTAACGGCATCTCTCTAAGTGGGTAAGGCGCTGGCTCGCTAGCCTGGAGGTCAGGTGTTCAACCCCTGCATTGGCCGAGAAAGTTCATCCAGATTTTCCGGCGTGGTTCCCCCTTGTCAGTGATGCAGGACGGAGGGCCTGACAAGGACAGCTATCTAGTCATTCGGATGAGACGAAAAACCAAGGTCCCGTGTACACATTGGCGTGCACGTAAAAGATCCCTTGACAGTTGGAATTCGATGTAAGAGTAGGCCGTAGTGCCGCTGTCCGGGCAAAATTTCCCTCATAGCACACTGTATGGTGTATGCCCGTCTTCATTAGCCCAGTTCGGAGCAAAACAGTAGGACGTTAAACCCCATTTCATTTCATTTCATTTAACGGCATCTCTAATAATGATAAGGATATCTAACTTAGGGCAGTAAATTAAGACAACTGATTTATATTGACTAAATGGGTAGTTTATTTCCATCCAATCTAAAGGAATCACATCTTTCTAAATGGGTAGTTACGATTGATGGTCGATAAAAAATATTATCCAGTTCAACAATTTCCCTTGATAGTTATTGATCCAATAGAACTGAATTACGACTTTATTTAGTTACCAGTAGTGGTCGGTGTTTTCAATTTGATTAAAATACAGATTTATATTTCGTTTCGTTTTTTATACTTGCGATGGCCTACACTACATGAATATCTGACCAATTGTTTTGAGATGTCGCGTCAGAGGGGATACGAGCGGCTTTTGACCCTATGATGTCAGACATTTGATTAACCAATCAGCATTTAAACCCATTTCTCTCTCTCTCCTCTCCCCCCCCCTCTCTCTCCCCCTCTCTCTCTCCCCCCCTCTCTCTCTCTCTCTCTCTGTAAATCTAGATCATGTCATGGGACATGTCGTGTAACATGTGAAAGCTGTTGTTTAATCAATGTATTTCTCACACTAAATTAAGTTATATTATCACCCGGAGATCACTAGAGTATCTGTAGTGTTTGACACACCACTCCCTATATACAACATCAATCTGCTTCTGGTTTATTTTAAAGTCTGTGATTGCCAGGAATATGAACCACATGTTCCTATGACACTCCTCCCTATACACCCTACCATTATAACTTAGTATATTTCAAATACACACAGCTGGTCGTGTTGTCTAGTTGTAACTCTGAACTTAGAGTGTGGATGTTATAAGGTATTTCAGTTTATTTAATCGTGTTTTCTGCGATTGGCATTGTGGTAATTGTGTCCGTTATACTTACTAATTTAATTTATTTAATTTTGACTGGTAAAATGAAACATTATAGATTCGGTATTATAGATTATTAATCTTAAAAAAACACAATGTAATTGATTTACTACTTCTAAGCATGTATCGTTTGAATACGCCTACGTTACTTGATAAAGTTACTCGTCAGATAATTGAAACGTTGCATAAGATAAGTAATGACCTAGTTTGTGTCGAGTGGACGTTACCCCCCCCCCCTCTCTCTTGGTTTTTGTACATTATTGTAAATAGTTCAATTTTATTTCAATAATTCGCTTCTGGCTAGGGGTCTTGAGCAGTGGAAGGAAACCGAAGGACCTGGAGAAAACCCACGATATTGGACAGGCGACCATACTCCTTGCCACGTACACCCGGAGAATCGAAACCACACTCAATGACAGACCTTATGATACAACGTGTATGCGCTGATTGCTTTCAGTAATATTATTAGTTACTGTTGTCAGCAGATAAAATTAAATAGCCATTATCTGGTTTGATTTTATGAAACGAGCTATGTGTGTAGGACTGTATTGACGACTCGCGATGTTGACGTATTAGGGGCCAAGTTGAAGTAGTGGGGGTCGAGTTGGGCTATGAGAGGGTCATTTGAAGTATGGTGGGGTCAAGTTGAAGTATGACGAGTTATCTGTAAGTATCCTAGTCGTTGACACATTAGCAGAGGAAGTGTATGGTTTCAAGTATTAGGGGCCAAGTTGAAGTGTAAAGGGCCATGTTGAAGTATTAAGGACCAAGTTGAAGTATGAGGAGTTATCTTTAAGTATCAGTCGTTGAAATATAAGATGGTAAAGTGTTTGGTTATCGGGACCAAGTTGATGTATACTCGTATGTCTTTGAGGAGACATGTTGAAGTATTAGGATCCATGTTGAGGTAATGATTGTATCGTTATGTTAGGGACCCTTGGACGTATTGAATGTATTGTTGAAGTGTTAGGGGTCTCGCTGAAGTATTAGATATAACACTGGGGCAATAGGTGTCTCGTTGAAGTGTTGTGGACCCTTTGACGTATTGGGTATGGCGTTGGGGTATGGAGAGTCAAGCGGGAGTAGTAGGGATCACGTTGGAGTATTAGTGATCGCTTTAAATTAACGAAGGTCACTTTGGGCTGTTAGGGACCACGTCGATGTAATAGGGGTCAAGTTGAAGTATAAGGGTGTCACGTTGTGGCAGTAGAGATCACGTTGGAGTATTAGGGGCCATGTTGAAGTATTAGGGAGCTCGTTGAAGTTTTAGGGGCTTTGTTGAAGTATTTGACGTCTAGTGGGCGTGTTAGGGGTCATGTTGAAGTATACGATGTCTAGTTAAAGTATTAGGGGCCATGTTGAAGTATACAATGTCTAGTTGACATATTAGGGGTCATGTTGAAGTAGGGACCATGTTGGCGTATTGGATGTCTATAGTTGAAGTTTTAGGGTCCATGTTGAAGTATACGACGTGTTAAACCACGTTTCTGGGTTATTATAAACTTCGTATATATTTTATGTCTTTTTTTATTTTTATTTCTAGGTCATATATATAAAGTGTCTAAATAAACAGCAGTTGACATTATACTGACGAGTGTTGAGAGATAACATTATCTTAAAACGATATCTCTATTTAAATTAAACTGTCGTCGTTAAGGAGTCAACACAAGGTGGTCAGGCGACCATATGCGACTCCATAGAGCATTGCTTTAAGAAAAACCAAAGCAATAGCCAGGATATAGACGATTTTGAAGTGTGAATGCGTGAATTATTAAATACGGATTAGAACTAACGGGTCGATAATATTAATCCGTGATTATTTAGCGACCACGGATGAAGGACACGGAATATTTAAAGGAAAATCATTTCATTTTTTAAGACTTTATTTCGTTTGGGTTATTGAGGTTTTTGATAACGGAATGATAAAGCACAGTGTATACATTTAGTATGGTATGACTTTATAATTTGAAACTTGATTATGATGTGGATACGTTATATTGGATATGTTACACCGAGAATCAGTTAAAATGAAATCAGATATTTCCACTAATGATATTTGTAACGTGTGTTATTATTGGAGAAGTAAAATAGCGAGATTTTAAAATCTGTCGTATTTAACGGTATTTTATTGTGAAATATATGCAGCTAGTAAATAGCGAGATTTTAAAATCAGCTGAATTTAACGGTATTTTATCATTGTGAAATTTATGCAGCTAGATTTAAAATCAGTCAAATATAACCGTATGTTATCATCGTGAAGCGAGATTTAAATTCTGTCGTATTTAACCGTATTTTATCATCGTGATGCGAGATTCTAAATCCGTCATATCTAAAGACTATGGTGACATTTAAACGGTGCCATATGTTAGGGACACTGTGAGTTATAGTCAGATTTCAAACCTGTCATATATAAAGACTACAGAGAGAGGAGTTAATGGTGCTAGATTCTACCAGCCAAGCGAGGCAACAGAGCGATTTGAAAGTGTTTCGTTAGTGCTAGATTTTACCGACCATGCTAGGCAACAGAGCGATCTGAACGTGTTTCGTTAGTGCTAGATTTTACCGACCATGCGAGCAACAGAACGATTTGAAAGTGTTTTGTAATGGAACATTGAGATTTAGTTAATGATAGATTTTTTACCGGTCATGCGAGGCAACAAAACGATTTGAAATTGTTTTGTAAGGCAACAGTGAGATTTAGATATTGCTAGATTTTACAGGGCATGTGAGTAATATCAATATTTGAAATCCGTCAATAATCTATATTTGAAATCAATGTTGGTTAGGATTATAATGAAACTTAGATTTAACTGACAAATTGAGAAATATCTGGATTTGAAATCCGTCAGATCTAACCGTGGGTTTGTCTATAGTGAGACTGCCCTAAATGTTGTTTGATTTACTGACAATTTGAGAAGTAGGACTATCTGGATTTGAGATCGGTCGGATCTAACCGTGGGTTTGGCTATAGTGAGATTGCCCTAACGGACAATGCGAGTTACATCTGGATTTGAAATCCGTCAGATCTAACCGTGGGTTTGTCTATAGTGAGACTGCTCTAAATGTTATTTGATTTACTGACAATGCGAGTTATATCTGGATTTGAAAGGTGATTATAAAATAATAATACAATATAAAATAAATCTATTGTGTCGTGGTAAACTCGTTCCAGTTGTTAAAACACAATCGTCCGTTTGTTCTGAACAAAACAGACAAAAATAACCCACCAAATTCTGGGAACATTTTACTGGCTATTATCAATCAGAATTCAATAATATTCTCCAGAAAATAAACGCTAATTCAAACGGATTAACTGATTTATATTAAAGGACTACGCCATAAGAAGGATATAAGAAAAAGTTAAAATGTTTTGCGGGTGTGGATTAAGCCAAAGGCGAGGTAAGGATCTTTGTTTTTATAATTACATGTACATAAGAAGAATCGCGGGATGCGGGATAAACTTTGATGCTGTTACCACCACCACCACCCCTTCTCACTTTCTGGATTAATCGTTTTATACAGTATTGTCATTCAATATCAACACTTTAACATAAAACACTAAAACGTTATGGGCTATGATTGATTACTGAATGCAATCGAAATGAAATGATATGAAATGGGGTTTAACGTCCTACTGTTCTGCTCCGAATGGGCTAATGAAGACGGGCATACGCCATACAGTGTGATATGAGGGAATTCCAACTGCCAATTGATCTTTTACGTCACGCCAATGTGTAAACACGGGACCTCGGTTTCTTGTCCCACCCGAAAGACTAGACAGTTGTCTTTGTCAGGCCCTCCGTTCTGCGCCACTGACAAGGGGTAAACCACGTCGGAAAATCCCGATCAAACCCGCGACATCCAGACTAGCGAGCCAGCGTCTTACCCACTTAGCCACCGCGATCCCCAGTTTATTTAAAAGTTAGTGCAGGAGGACCGCACCACACACAAAAACCAAAACCCACAAGACAACCCCCGAGGACATGACACACAAACCACATACACGTTATAGACACAGAGATCAACAAACAACAAACTTCTATATGTCAAGTGAAGTGCATGGATCCTAGGGCTAGACGTAAGCGTCAACTGTGCAGTACAGCCTCGGAGCGGTCATGATCAATTACATTATATGTCACCTAACCAATTCATTAAATATACATAATGCAGGAACTAAATCTGCCTATTGCAGGTATTTCTTCAGTCCTGAAATATCTAAATTATTAAGCATACATTATGCAAGAGCTAAATCTGCCTATTGCAGGTCTTTATTTAGGCCTGAAATGTTATCTAAATTATTAATTGGACATTAATTAACTTATATAGACTATAACCAACCCTCGATGGCATCGCTAGCCTGCGATATTTAGTGGATTATGATTCCATTTGCTGTTTTTTTTTTATCCTACCGACTTCAGTAATGATCAGCGAGGCTAGGCCGAAAATTCAATCGCTAACATCTCGGTTCATAGTGGATCAATTTGACTGAAATTTCCAGCAAATTCCCTTTACAGTATCTAGTTTTTAACTATTATAGTGAGAACTGCCAGCTCTTTATCTAATCTCCCATAATTTATCTTTAAAACACTTTATCGTTTTCCAATATAACTACTGATCGTCATTTGAGGGATGTTGAAAGCGGCCTTGCAAACTACAATATTGTGAAAGTTAAATCTCTAAACGAATACCAGTCCAAAAATACTTCAATTTCGTCCAATATTTACAAAGAGAGAGAGAGAGAGAGAGAGACAGAGAGAGAGAGAGAGAGATGGTATATAACGTCCACTCGACACAAACTAGGTCATTTCGGGAATAACATATGGATTAATTTTATTTCAATAATTCGCGTGCGCATAGGGGTCTTGAGCAGTGGGAGAAAACCCACGAGGTTAGACAGGCGACCCTACTCCTTGTCACGTACAACCGGGGATTCGAAATCAAAGATCTAATGAATTGAAAATTCGGCATTTTCAGCAGACGATATACATAAAACAACGTCAGCTAAATTCTGTTGATGGGCCTCGATTTTATCCGGTTGGATCCGGACAGGACGATTATCGATTGTTGATATTTGGATTTTGTTTTAGTTAAACATACATTATGGCGTCACATTAATAATGATGTCATTGCATTAATCATATTAAACATACATTATGCAAGAGCTAAATTTGCCTATTGCAGGTCTTTCTTTAGGCCTTAAATGTTATATAAATTATTAATTAGACATTTATTAACAAAAAAAGACTATAATCGACTCTCGATGTCATCGGATACTCTGGATTTTAACTAGATTAGAACGGTTCGCCATTTAAAAATTTAATTTATTAATGGGACAGCGAGGCTAAGTCTCAAATACACCAGTGCCCTGGTTACCACAATGCACACATCTTGTCAAAACTTCAAACAGTGATACCGTGGCTCAGAATGAAGTAATTTGAATGAAATTTTCAATATTTTCATGTTACCTTATCTATTTTTTTAGCTATTATAGCAAGAATGGTCAGCTCTTTATCTAAATCTTACATAATGTATCTTTAATTAAATATTAAAAAATTAATTTGCGTGGATTAAACTGGGATCAATTTAATATTTTTAGCGGATCAACATTGTTTTATTAAATTTGAAATTAATAACTCATTTTATCACCAGATGATTAAACAATTTATATTCATATGTCACGTGACGTGACGGACAGATTATATTCAAATTTGAATAGATAGGCTTTATCCGTTGTGAATAGGAAATTTTAATATTACCGACACGAACTGTGTAACGTGACATGTCAATGAATGCATCGTAATTTGAAAAATTATAATTCTAATAATAATAATAATCGTCTTACATAGCGCTGGAATTCCAACCTACTGGCGGCTTAATGGCGCAAATTATTGTGTCATTAAAGTCATTAACAAAATGGCTGTCGGAATACGTCTGTTTTTAATATAATGGTCTCTATATGTTACTTGCAGGCCATTCTCGGTATCCCCAATGGCACCATTCCGTTCTGGGGATACCGCGCATGCTCTCGGTGATGCAAATAACACATCTACTGGTTTGAGCTAGGAGGTCGGGTATGGGTGTGCATACACCGTGATTCGACCCGGAACATTTAGGTTCAGGTTATTAACTGATCGTAGGTTGGATATCGTATTTAGACTAGCTCTATATATTTATTCAGTAAGAGTCCAATATAACAACCATTCAAGGGCACATAACTCTACCAGGCTTATTACCAAGACTGTTACATGATAACACACCATATACTATTTACACAATGGAATATATTGTAAACTAAATCCACACTGACAAAATTCATTAATTGAACTGTTATTCGTTATTATTGGCCTTGCTATATAAAATCGGTGTATTCCAAGAGGTTTGCACAATGAATGACGTCATAAGTTCATATTTTCCCACGGTAAAAATATCAATGAACAATGAATTGAAAGCTGATATTTTACTATTACAGTGCGTGCTTTATGTTCTACTTACTAGGGAATAGTTCAACCGATTAATTCAGTGTACCATGTTGAATTATCTGTGCTGTATTCAATTTATGTAGGGTTTGTTAAGCTGTTATCACTTATTGTCGATTGTAAAAGCCCACACAATGTAATCGCATATAAATAAAGAGAGAGGGAGAGAGAGAGAGAGAGAGAGAGAGAGAGAGGGAGAGAGAGAGAGAGATGGGTTTTAACGTCCACTCGACGCAGAATATGTCATTTCGGGACTAGCATATAAATAAAAAATAAATATAGAATAGATTCGAACCGGTCACGTGGAATCATATTCCCAGGGAAATGAAATGGGGTTTAACGTCCTACTGTTCTGCTCCGACTGGGCTAATGAAGACGGACATACGCCATACAGTGTGCTATGACGGAAATTTTGCCCAGGCAGCGGCACTATGGCCTGCTCTTATATCGAATGTCACGCCAATGTATACACGGGACCTCGTTTTTATTTTTTGCTTTTTTTCGTCACATCCGAACTCCTAAACAGCTGTCCTTGTCAGATTCCCTGTCCCGCATCAATGACAGGGGGAAACCACGTCGGAAAATCTGGATGAACTTTTCTCGGCCAATTCAGGGATCGAACACGCGACCTCCAGGCTAGCGAGCCAGCCCTTTTGTATTAAGGGCTTTTAATATAAAATTAAGCAGTTTTAATTTCAAAAATAAAACCGAGATTAACCCTGTAAGGTACTGCGAACACTTTTGAGTAAATTCTTAACTTAAAGATACATTCCCGCGTACAAACTGGGTGATTTGATGATATATTTGGACTAAAAACACATTCAAACTAATTAATTTATCATAATTGTGCTTCAAATCCTTCTCAAAATATTGCAAAATCGACCAAAAGAGGTCATGTTTGTGTCACGTGACTTACCTCTCTCAGTACCTAGCAACGGGGGCGAAGTCGGTGGAAAATTCATTGCATACACGAGACGATGTTGTCTTTAATCGCTAATTATTTATTACAAATATGGAAGCCTGATTGAATTCTCGGATTACCCACTGCCCAAGTTTTTTTTCCGTGGTTTTTAACTCAGAAACTGATGTACGTCTAACTCTTCATAAAGTTTATCAACATGTACCTCAAGGGGTCTATCTCCGCGTGCGACCTTTGACGTCACGCGTGCAGACACTCCTAATCGTCGGGCTGTAGATTAGGGAAATCCTTACAGTTTTGTCCATGAGTGTTTTACCGGGCATCCAGTATTTTTCTATTAAGATTGGATATTTCTACTTTCCATATATACCAAAATTGCCATACTTTTATTGGAAATAACCACCCGATAAATACTTTTCTGGGAACCTATCTTTAAGTCTGTGAATGCTTTCTTAACTTGGGGCCTGGCCTTCGTCTACACATGATTTAGATGGTAATGTAAATGTTGGCTTGCTCGTTGTTCGTTGTATACGTCCACATATAAAGACATCTCGACTCATTGACATTGAAAACAAACATCCTCAATTATACATCAATATTGACTGGACCAATATTAAGTTCGTTAAAGAGAGAGAGAGAGAGCGAGAGCGGGGGGGGGGGTAACACCGGGTTACAAATATTCACTGAGCCATCGGATATTACCCTCCCCCTCTCTCTCTCTCTCTCTCTCGCTCCCCCTCTCCTTAACGATCTGAATATTGGTCCAGTCAATAGAGAGTGAGAGAGAGAGATAGAGAGGGGCCAACACCGGGTTACAAATATTCACTGAGCCATCGGATATTACCCTACCCCCCCCTCCCCCTCTCCCCCCCCCCCTCTCTCTCTCTCTCTCTCTCACATATTTCTGTTAATACCTCATCCCTTCAGTCTTTACTTGTAGAACCTTTTCATAATTATCCCTCGAACTCCGGAGAAATCGATCCCTTTTACGTCCAATTCCAATT